AGGAATAAGGCAGCTCGACCCCCAGCCTCATTGAGTGTAGTTCTAGTGGAGAGGCACCCGTAGATGTGTATCCCTGATGCAAAGGCAGGCAGTCTTAAGTGCTATGGATACGTGAATGGAGCACAATGCTTGGCAGAGACCTGAGTGCAATGAGTCAGAGAGAAAGTGGTGTAAATGTCCAGGACAGCATGACAGCTTGGGAGACAGCAGTGCAATGGCATGGATGTGGAAACAGAAGATGCTTATTCAGGGAGCAGCAGGGTGTTCAGAGTGACTAAAGCCAGAAATGGCAGGCAAGGGGGTTGGCAGATGGGTCAGGGGTCACCAAGGCCAGACAGCCCTGCAGGCTGTGCAGGATACAGTGAAAGGAAGCCTCAGTGGATTTGAGTAGAGAGTGTCATGAGTTCATCTGCTTCAGAGAGGTCCAGAGAAGCTATTGTAATAATGCAGTCCCAGTAGACAGTGGTTTGGCCCAAGGTAGCTGGAGGGGAGGTGGTGAAAGGTGGCCAGATTCTGGGTTTTTGCTAAAGGTTAGAGCCCACGCAGATTGCTCATAGACTGCAAGGAGAGTGACGGAAAGGAAGGAGTTACAGATGATGTCTAGGTTTGGGCCTGAGCCCCACTCTCCCGGTAAGGCAACCTAGGCTCCAGGAGTAACTGCCCGAGTTTGCAGTTTATTGCAAAGGTGGGACCAAGTGAACGGAGGGAAACAGAGAGAAAGTTTGCAGGGGAAGGGGGGAAATATGGAGAGTCTGGCCATGTAATCCTGTGGTCCTGCTGGCCATCTGATTTCAAAGGGGAGAACTCAGCAGTGCTCAGCGGTGCTGGTACCACCCCCATCTTTGAGAGATACCCGTGGTTCCAAAGGCCTACCAAGAGCAGAGGGAAGGCTGGGTGCACAGACCTTGCACCCAGACAGGGTAGGTAGACTTAGTTGCCAATAGGACATAATTTGAGAAATTTTCTGAGCCCCTTGGGTAGGTCAAATTGTAGGTGCCCATGTGGGGGTCCCTGAAAGAGACACGAATGGAAGCAGCCTCTGCCTGCCAGCAAGCCAGCCTAGGCCAGCTCCGGATCCATGGTGCATCAGGGGAGCAGAGACATCCACCTCAGCCAGAGCAAGGACAGTTGGGATTCGGCGCCTGTCCCTGAGGCCTGAGACCTGGCAAGGAGGGCGGGGGGAGGGGGCGGTGCGCAGCACAGCCAGTCCTTTCATGTGTGTTCACCTGTCCCTCAGCCCTTTCTGAAAGTAATCCTCGGCTTTGGAAGAAACAGCATTGTAAACAGAAGTGTTTTGGACTGAAATCCACATTCGTTGAATACATCGAAATCCCTCCCTACGGCCTTCAAGCCTTTGTGTGATTGGGCACAACCACCCTCTCTTCCTCTTCCTCAGGTGCTGGCCAGGCCTCCTTGCAGAAACTGACAGCACCCGGCACAGCAGGGCCCTCCCCGGGAGCTGTGTGAACTATGAGCAAACACTGTGTGCCATGTATGTGCCAGCACAGTTCTAAGCACAGCAGGCCTTTGTTTATCTCAGCTTCAGAACAGCTCTAGGAAGTAGGCTCTGTTGTGATCCCCTTTTGCAGCTGAGGAGACTGAAGTTAAATAATAAGTGGCAAAGCCAGACCTCACACCAGGCAAAGGGCCTGCTCCTTAACCCGTGTCCCTCTGTCTCAAAAGAGGACATTCTCCTCCACCTTGGTGCTGCCTATGACTGAAGAAACTCTCCCTCTGCTGTGGAAAGTTCTTCTCACACCTGTCTTTTTAGAGCTCCATTTGAGTATCACCTCCTCAGGGAGCCCTTCCGGACCTCCCTGTCCAAAGAAGCTTCCCTGGTTATGCTCCATCAGATCCCTCTGCTCATATCTTCACAGCACTGGCTACAAAGGGTAAGTGGATTGTTAATGGTTTGTTAACTTGTTTGTTGTCTGTCTCACCCCGTACATGCCCTAAGACTGTAGACTCCCAAGGGGGCGAGTATCTTTCTGTCTCATTCTTGACTCTGTCCCCAACACCTAGCATAGTGCCTGCAATAGGCCAGGCCCTTGGGAGGGAGGCAGGAAGGGTTGCCTGGCCTCAGCACCCTTATGAAATCAGCCTTTAGAAGGCAGCCTCAGCAGCATCAGCCATGGCAGCAGCTGGGTCATTCCCACCCTCCTTTCTCAGGGATAGTCTTCCTTGTGCCAGAGCCAGGCTCCTTCCTCTCTTCTCAAGCACTTGATATCTTTCCCCTTCCAAGCCTGCTTGGACAAAAGGAGGCTTATCTTTACCAGCACCCACTGTGGGCATTGCTCAGCCCTACTCTCCCGGTAAGGCAACCTAGGCTCCAGGGGTAACTGCCCAAGTTTGCAGTTTATTGCAAAAGTGGGACCAGAACCTTCTGGTGGCCTTTGCCTTCTCCAGAGGTGTAATAGGAGGTTAAAACGCAGCTATCACTTCCTGTCTCAATTTTGACAGAGGAGTCAATAGAGCAGGCAGCAGATACCAAGATGAATGTGAGATAAATCACAAATGCCAAGTTTACAATGAAAATTCTGAAAGCCCAGTCCACAGCTCCACACCCCTGGCAGGCCTCAAGCCTGGTGATGTTCAGGAAACAGAGTTGCACTGGGTCAAATCTTGACTGTTCCACTTCTCCTGGTGGCTCTCGCACAGACATGGCCACACATTTACACCAAAAGCGGCTCTGCACGGAGTTCCAGTCTTTGTTGGAAATAGTGCTTGTGTCATGAGCCCTGGGAGCCACCCACAGCAGAGACTGTCTTCCTTCCACGTCTCCCTTCAGTTAGGGAGCGCACGTGTGAAGAGATCAAAATACTAAGTGAACACTCGTGGCAGTGGGAATACTGAAGATTATCCTCTGTGTCTGTTTAGAATTTTTCTCATCTTTCTACAATGACTGTGAACTTCTTTCAAACTCAGAGACTTTAATTTTAACTTTAATTTTAAATGAATGTGAAAAATAAAAAAGACTGAAATTAGACACCCACCAGCACATTTGAGGAGGGTCTGTGAGGGGCTAGGAGCCTGAGCTGCGTGGGTGCTGCAGATCACAGGGAATTTTGACTGGGGCTATGAGTTATCAGGGACCTGGAAAGGGCCATGGTCCTAAAGCCTAGCCCTGGGCACCATGCCCTGCCAGGCCAGCTAGAAAGGGGTGGGCTCAGCTTGTCTAAGGCTAATTCTCGCCCCTAGCAAGGCCTTGTTCCAATATAAGCATCAAAGGGGTAGTTAAATGGTCTGTGACTCAGTGATGAATATGTCACTTGCAGGATGAAGAAGTACTATCACTCGTACAAAACAGAGCCTCCTTCACCTGAATCCATAGCCTATACTTGCTAGATCACGCTCCACAAAAGCCATCAATAACTACACTTCTGGCCTGCAAAACACAGATTCAGAGGTAAGAAAGATAAATCAACTCACAGAACTGAGGCAGTAGGAGAGAGAAGAGTCTGTGCACATAATCTAGTTCATCCTCCACACTAGACAGATGGTGAAACTAAGGGCCAGAGGAACCCAACTACTCTGAGAGACTAGCTAAAAACCGTAGGGGCTATACATACATATTCAGCCTTAAAAAAAAAAGAAGGAAATATTATCACATGCTACAAAATGGATGAACCTCAAGATCATTATGCTAAATGAACTAAGCCAGTCAGAAGA